GAACAATAATATTCTTGGTGAAATAAAATATAGAACTTTGTTATGTTTATAAATTATTTAAAACGTTATACAAGAAGAGAAAGACAAATATTATTATAAAATATTGAAAAAAATTTTTTAGTAGAGTCTATCGGTACTGAGCATTTTACATACCATTAAGAAATTCGTTCGTCAACGGTGAACTTGGATAAGGTGCACTTGGATAAGGTACGATGTCAGATTCTGCAGTCATGTCTCCGTTCTTCGATGTAGACTGAGATGTAGATCCATGTGAACAAGACGGGGCTTCAGGCGCCGATGGCACAGGCAGCAGTGGTATTGTTCCAATTACAATCGGATACTCTTTGACGATCTTGCGATACCTAGACAAAAATTGACAACCTATTGTTATTGGATGACCATCAAGGGCGTAAAATATTGCCGGATTATTACAATATATTTGGTTTACCACTGAGCTTTTAAAAGATACGTACATTTCACCGTGGAAGTCGACACGTAGAATATATTTTAGGTCAATGATACCGCAGAATTCCAGTTCCGAAGGTGGTACCGAGGGGATAAGTAAACGTAATACGAAAACAGCGCGTTTACCGAACGGTCCTAGTTTTTGCACAGATGCCACAGTTGTTTTGTCGTGCCTAGTGGACGCAGTCGCGCGAAACTCGCAGGACTTGGTAAGCATAAATTAAAATTTGGTAATTATCACAGGACAGAATAAAATTTACATTCTGGCCAATTTATCGATTCACATATTTTGATGGAAATAAACATCTGAGCGTATAGATTGAGCGTAAAGGCACACGGAAAGTTTCGCGTTTACGCTTCTCTCTGTCAATCTTCCCTTGCACTCGATTTACGTACTGATTCTTATTTTGACCAGGGTAATATTACATATTAATTACAACAATTATTTTCAAACCTACTTGCTGTAGTTTCAAGCAGATTTTATTGAATTCAGTGCTGGTATTATCCTTTAAATCGAAACCTGCCTCGATCCATTGTCCCGGAACGAATCCTGTCGTCGGTAATTTAACATGCATATTTATCGAACCATCGCTGATGCAGCAGAGGCAGCAAGAGAAAGCCTGGTTTATTTCATCGTGTATGCCGATCTAATATAAATAATATATCATTAATTTTCAATGCAATTGTTTAAATAAGACTGTTCATCATATGGCTATAAAATGGCTAGCTTGTATTTTCTGGTCTATGAAATTTTTTAATATGAAAGTACCAAATCCTAATATAAATTAAAAAGATCGACTTCACTCACACATTGCTCACGACGAATGTTCAAGTCGTAATGTGAAATTATGGTGAACACAGCTTTGCACTCGTGATTGAACCGCCACGATCTAACAATGACCGCCTTTATCGTGTATCTGATATGACCGTAGTGCTGTTCGAAGCTGCATGGTATGTCATGTGGTAGTTGAATATGAAAAGGATATTTACTCAATCCTGCAGGGATGTGCACTTTTTTGTCCTCTGAAATTAATATATCAAATATTAAATGTAGCCTCTAAATATAATTTATTATTTTTCTATGTGGATCGTAGTAAAATGTATCTTAGCTATTTTACACTTAAATATACATGTCACAATATACACAATATTCTAATTATTAGTGCAAGTATAATACATTTCATTATTATATTATACTGTACTAATATATTCTAACGAAAATTTCTGTCACGATATATGCTTGAGTTTTAATTGACAATATTAACCTTCTAATCTCTCTAACAGCATGATGGTTAAACTAAAATACTTTTCATTCCCACTATAAGTAGTAGAGGTAGTTCTAGAATTTCCATTGCTATCTGTCGTTCTCCTTGTCTCAGTCCATCTGACGTCAGCTTCCCCGCTAGCTGATAATTTTAGTGCTGCAAAGATTAATGATCATTTTACATACAAAATAGGAATGAAGAAAATCCGTATTCTTTATAAAAAAAATGTGTATAATAGATACAGATAACTATGCGCAAAACGCTAAATAGAATTATTTCAATATATCCCAGCAAATAGACTGATGTTATTTTGACATAAAAATTACGTTTTTGACGGTAAAATGACAAGTAATTTTATCGTGTTTGTTAGGATGTAATTCTTTTGCTATTTATCGTTTATAGCACAATATACTTTGTGTAACTCTTACTATCATATTTATTTATTTATGTTTAACCTGTTTAAAATATACAGAAAAAATACAGAAAAGATATTGTTCGTTCTAAAATTATCACAAGAATAATCTCATAATATTCCAGGCATTATCAAAGCGTCCAATTCTGAGATTGATAAAATTTTCGCCAATATGTTCGTCACACTGTTATCACTGATAGTCCAAGAATCGATAATCTCTGAGTCCATCGAGGCGACCTTCAAATATACATTACAGTATTTCTGGTTGGATTCGCAAAGCTAGTTGTAATTTCAAATGATATTAAGATATACTTAAGATTTTTTGTATACGATGTTTTTAATATATCTTGAAATTGGAGAAGAAAGGAAAAATAAAAAGATGTAGATGCAGATGATATCTATAGTTATGTCTACGCAGATCATGGTTACACGTGTAAATTTTGCGATGGTTTTGTTCAATGGATATTTTTAAAAGAGTTAATTAACTGAATGATTTACCTTCAGCAATTTTTTCCCTTGCCAGATTGATGGTGACGCAGCCGCTGACGATTTCGCCGGGCATGTAAACAGCATCCGGCCGGCTAAATTCAATGTTAAAAATGTTCAACGATGCCATGTTTCTATCGCAGTACACTGGTCAGTCGGGACAGACTTCTCAGTCTCGCTCCACGATCGAGTCGAGATTGACGTACATACAGCATGATGGCTGCACGACTGATGTAGGAACTTGGGAACATCGAGATATTTCATATCGACGTGCCCCACCATGAGAACGTTAAAGGAATTATATCTTCAGGATATATAGATCAATTGATATCACTGTCTTGAAAGTGTCACTTCCAAATATCTCTTTCGACGTGACTAATACAAGGTTTATCACACTCGTGCAGATCAATGAGACAGATTAAGAATGAGGAAACACGAAGTTTTAGATGTATATTTTCTATTATAGAATCTAGCGGTTTATATTGTTTAGAAATGGAGTATCACAGAAAGAATGAGGCTCATGGCTGATACGAGGTACTGCGCGTCGTGTTATATAACATACTGGAATGTGCTATTCCCATAGATAGTTACAGATAACTTACTGCCATAAGCTAAAACAGGATAGTTTGACAAGCGAGAATGTCGAGAGTGTCTACTGTATGAAGCGAATTCTTTACATTTATATAGCAAAATGACGAGGATCATTCGCCAATTAGAAACATAAATTAAAGTCTCTAAAACATTCATAAATATTTCTTTTCTCCGTTCCACTTTCTCCTGTCAGTTTTATTATTCAGTGACTTTAGAATCTGTTTTGCCAACATGAAACGTAAAATAACTAGCCTTTCACGTTAGCGATTCGCCAGATGATTATTAATTCCTATAATAAAAAGGCTTAAGAAGACGTTACTGTGTTCGTACTTGCATACTTTTTTTGCAAAATTAATCGATTAAAAGAATCGAATTGCTTTCATTACGTCGCTCGATATTTTGCGCAAACAAATAAACGTTTTTAAAACATCGCTACTTCATTGTCAAGCGAAAAAGTGCATTTTAATTTGTACGATTGATCACTGTTAAGTAAAGTTAAATATGTTAAGTAAAGAATTAGAAAAGACATTTGGTTGTTTTAATTGATATAAACAAATAAATGATTTATAGATCCTTAAAATTGCGTTTAAAATTGCTCAAAAAGTATGTAAGTAGGTTTAGTTAGGATTTTTTATTTGCATTCTTCTGGTTTGATTGACTCGTTATGAATGGGTGATATGAAAATAATATGGTAACTTTACGGTAAATATCAAACATGAATATAGTGTTGCTGCTTTATATTATATATTTTTGATATCATAATATTGAAAAAAATAAGCTTTCTAAGATATTTAGTTATATTTCCAATTAGGTTTCATTTTTTAAATATTTGTGGACTGTAAGAGAACAAATGTTTACTGCTTGAATGACAGATAATCTTTGCATGGTACTTTTACTGGATGCGTCTGCTATCTGGTGGTCTCTGAGACTACTAACTTCTCACCAAGTCGAATGATATCTGAATCGGGTAGAAAAGACAAGCTCGAGGTGTCTATCATGGAAATGTTCGGAAAATTTCCATGATACGCATTCAGTTGTTTGATTAAGGTAGCTAGAGCATTAGCGAAAACAAAGATTTTTTATTGGCATGAAACTATGTTATTCTATAGAGCATTATACGTAATCAGGAATTAATTCACGAATTTTTACCACGTAATTACGTAAATATAAGCGTTTAAAGTTGGTCAATTTGACATTAGAGTATATGAACGACATGTGCACAATTGTAATTCACGAGATTTTGCGAGTATTTTAAAAAAGATTGACGTTTGGAAAACAGAAGATCTTATCAATTAAACTATTACGAGTGATTAAAAAAAAAACGTTAATTTACCATTGCAATAAAAAGATATTCAATATTAAAGCAAACGAAATGTAGCTAATAGAGCAGCTTTGGTTAGTCGGCCATCAAAACTTGGCAACAGCGCGGACCGCACCTAATCTCACTGTCGGCGCCAACTTCAAAATAATCAAAAGTTCTCAACGTGCTTCAACACAATTGTAATTACGAGTTTTCCATGACATTCTTTATTTGCGTGATTATACCTTGAATGACTTTTTTATTTTTCGTTACACAAGGATGTCCGTTGACATCTGAGGCTAAGAAACTGTTACCGCGAATACGAGTAGCCGGCGTTGCCATAGTTTCGTGTTGTATACAACACAGGTCAAAATGTGGTTAGCAGTCTTACCAATATCGAAATATTGCAACGTTGCCACGTTTTGGTCGTAATTTCGATGTGATAAAAATTATAATTATTTATACAATTAATGACCAGAAAGTTATTTTTTATCATTATTATGATAATTGAGAAACTTAGGACTATATTGTAACCAGTTTTTTAGATTTTTTATTACAGTCGTTTCGACAAATGTGAAGTTGGTACCAGCGTGTAAGACACTTCGTTTTTAATTAACTAGAACAACACAAGCGCGCGCTTCGCGCGCGCCATTGTTCTTCCACATTATATATATTACATAAACTGTCAAAATAACCTTCTTAAATACAAACTGTCGAAACCGCAAGTCGAAGTGAACGACTCGCAAGGAGATCGACACATAAACTGTCAAAATAACCCTCTTAAATGCAAACTGTCAAAACCGCGAGTCGAAGAGAATCGACTCGCAACAAGATCGAAATCGAGTTTCGAGAGAGCCAATCGGCATCGCGGAAAAGCGACAAAAATGAACTCGCAATGCCTTTTTTAGATAGGGATTAGCCGTATCTGGGATTAATTATATACATAGTGTTATTATACATTTCTGGAAACTAGAAGTTGCACGGAACACGGTGATATCAAATATGCATTTATTAATGCGTTAATGAAATTGTTTTTTTCGAGACTCTATTTTGACTCACTGCGATGCTCTAGCTACCTTAATCAGCGGAACCACCGGTCCCGCCGCCAAAGTCGTCTCCGGCGTCGTGACGTCACCGTCCGACGACTCGGCGCAGCTAGACAGCGTGACGGCAAACGTGAAAATTACC